GCGGCCACCCCCCCCCCCCCCCTTATCGAACGGGGGGGGGGTCTGGTGTTCCCAATCCGCTGGACCCCCTTCTCAGCGTGCAAGGGGTCCGGCATTCTGAGTCCGCCGGACCCTCTGTTCGGTTCGCGGACGCAGGACCCCTGCAAGCTGAGAAGGGGGTCCAGCGGATTGGGAACGCCGGAGCCCCGTCCCCTTATCGAACCGGGGGGGGGGGCTGGCGGCATCGGAACACCTGCCACACCTTCGACGGACATAAGGGGGTTCGATGAGAGGGTTCGTCGAAACTGGAAGGCCGGCCCCCCTGCGCATGGAGAGGGGGGTCCGGTGGATCGAGAACGCCGGACCTCTTATGTCCGTCAAAGGGGGTCCGGCGTTCCCAATCCGCCGGACCCCCTTCTGAACGCGCAGGGGGGTCAGTCGTTCGCGCACCGAACAGATGGTTTGTCGAAACCGGAATGCCGGACCCCCTGCGCATGGAAAGGGGGGTCCGGCGGATCGGGAACGCCGGACCCCCTGTTCGAGAGGGGGGGGTCAGACGGTTCGACGACGTCTTACCCCTCGATCCACCGGAACGGCCGGGTCCCCTTTGACGAGCAGGGTTCCAGCGAGCACGGCTCCGACGAGACTGTTCGAGAAGGGGGTACGGGTTCCAGAACGGCCGGGTCCCCTTTGACGAGCAGGGTTCCGGCGTCACCGATCCACCGGATCCCGTCCCCCTTTTCAACACGAACACGGGGCCTTGTAATGGGGGGGGGGGGGGGGGGGGAGGAATCACAAAAAAACAGTTCGGTGGTGAAACGTGTGGCACGAGGCCTTGTAATGGTTCCCAAAAAAACGGGGCAACCATCCTTCCGACAAAACGTGGCCGTATCGCCACCTTCTTCCGGCATTACAAAAATAAAAACGACCTGCTTTATTTTACTTTTCTTTTGCCGCACTTTCTACCCTAAAAGATCCCGCCCCTCTCGAGAGAGAGATACTTTTTTCGGTGACTGAACAAATAGTAGATGCACGGTGAGCAACCATCTTTGGGACAGAGGGTGGCCATGTTGCCACCCTTTCTCGGCATTACACGGTGATTGAACAATCTGTAGATGCACGACGAGCAACCATCTTCCGGAGAGAACGTGGCCATGTCGCCACCTTTTCACGGCATTACAAAAACAATCGACTTTCTTTGTCCTGAAAGATTTCCCCATATTCCCGTTAAAAAAAAATGTTCGCATTGTCGAAAAGGCACAACAAAAGGTGCAGTTCGCTGGTTTTACTGCATTACAAAAACAACCGACTTCCTCTCCGAACGTGGCCATCTCGCCACCTTTTCTCGGCATTACAAAAACAACCGACTTTCCATTTTTTGGGCTGAGCATTACAAAAAACGCTCGCGTTGTCGAAAATGCAAACAAAAAGGTGCAGTTTTCGGGTTTCACTATCATCACATAAGATGCGGGATTGAATCCGCAGAGAGAGAGAGAGAGAGAGAGAGAGAGAGAGAGAGAGAGAGAGAGAGAGAGACAGATCACCTCTCTTGCGAACGGCGAACGTCGAGTGTTGAGCAAGGTAACTTTGGCGTCGGCAATGGCAAGCTCTTTTGGCGAACGACAATGGGCGTTGGGCAGCGACACTGGTAATGGTTGGCCTGACCACGACTGGTGTGCGATGGCAGGCGTGTGAAATGGCATGCGGGCAATGGCGGTGGTTAGTGGCGCGGGCAGGCGCGTCAAATGGCATGCGGGCAATGGCGGTGTTTAGTGGCGGGGCCTCAGTAATGTGCAGGCCAGTTCGGAGCGTTTAAGCAGGAAAAGCACCGGTCCATTTTGCCACTGCAAATCGGACCGGTGCCGTTCCCGCTGAAACGATTTTTGGGTACCGGTACCTTTACTGGGTACCTGCCTCCCACTTTTTCGCAGGCCTCAAAGGCTCCAAGTGCGCACATTTCGCATTCGGTCTGGCGTAGAACACGACTTTGCGAGTTTGCGAGCGCGCGCGAGATAGAGATAGATAGATAGATAGATAGATATATATATATATATATATATATATATATATATATATATATATATATATATATATATATATAGAGAGAGAGAGAGAGAGAGAGAGAGAGAGA